TACTACTACTACTACTACTACTACTACTACTAAGAAACACCTTCTCCCCTCTGGTGTGAACTTTTTTCCTCAGTTCAATTGCGGTCCCTCATTTGGTACGTCATTTGATCCTTGAGTCTTACATTTGATTCCGCTCAACAAACCAGCAGAAAAATTTACTTGAATATTGTCCATTCCAGAAATATGAAACAAGCGGGTTATTTTTATGATTTTCACTGATTACAGTTCATGCCTTTCCTACCTTCAGTTAGAGTTGTCCGTGTCCCATGAACATTGACGGGGTTACTGCAGGTAGAGGGACATTTTATGCAAAAACCGACTGCTTAATTCAGGCGAAATGGTGAACATGAAAGCAGTCAATCTGAGCCAAAAGAATTCACTTATATTGATGCGTGTATTGAAACAGTATATCTGATGACTTCGCGTCCACCGAACCACGGGAATGGTGCAAGGATGTTGCGACAACAGTACATTGGTACATCTTCCAATATTTGCCACACTGAAACTTATTACAACACAAAAGCAGAACCGTTTTGTGACACACCAAACGTAATTGGAGAGCATTTGATGCATCTCAAACAACTTAAGCAATAGCTTCTCTAAATGAACGACCATAATGATAAAATGCATATTTTACTACATCTTATGCTATGCGAATAAACTTACCAACGTTATTTCCATAATTATTCACCAAGTTTTGCGCCTGACCAGTATGCGAAGTACATTAAATGTATAGGCCCACTAGCGATGGAGGGGAGAGAGAAAAATCTATTCCCAACACAACCCGGTGATACCACGCTTAAATACAGGAGGTGCAAAAAATTACGCGAGGAAGCACTGCTTAATTCCGTACTTACTGTGGAAAAAAGATTAAATGCTGCCGCTTGACAAACATTCAGGTAAGGGTGGTGGCTTGGCGCTTGTGGTAGGGTTTCGCGAACAAACTCACGTAGAAGAAGAAGAAGAAGGAACTGGCTTCGTAGATCAAAACTGGTAGCGAAACCAGTAGACAACAGAGCACAATGACCTTGAACGCCGAAGTGCATGTAACTGAAGCGTGAGTGCATGATAGAGAGTGACCGGGGTTAAGGTGGGATGGCTTTACATTGAACACGATTCAGATGTGACATATAAGTAGCGGTCAAATTGCAGGCATTATTACAATGTTCCATAGTGTGGGAAAAGTTGAGAACCGATGGAAAACAATATTCTTGGTGGAAAATCTTTTGAGACGCATGCGATTTATGTTAAACAAATGAGGGGACCAAGTTAAGGAGGAGGGGACAAGGAGTTCAAGTAGAATTGCCAATTACGTGTAAACAAGCGGTGATTAGTCTCAAAGCAGATTAAGAGTGCAGTGATTATTTACAGGGGATAGAAACCTACAACAGATTTTGTGGCGTTGAAAAGTGGTCGAATCTGAGCGCCTAGAGCAGCGGTAGCCCTCGGATCAGAATTGAGTACAGTTTGCACAGGCAACCCATCCTAAATATTGGGGATAAATGAAGCACAGAAATTCTTCCAAGAAAGTTGATAACTTATAACTTTATATCCGTGGTAGAAGTATGAATTAAGATCAAAGATCAATAATTCGGTAGAGAACGTTGTCGATGAAGGGAAGTAAGAGGGTAGGAGATATCACGGAGTAATATGCGATGGTAAATTTAATTAGCACTGGTCTCTGATCGGCTCTGTTACCAGGATACAAGATTGAACGATCACAAAGGTTAATTCGTATCCATGCGCCGAAACACAACGTGAGTACTTGGGAGTTTCTCTGTTATGAGAAATGTGTTCAAACTACTTGGAACTCTCGAATAAATGTGGTCTCCACGGTCTTCATTGGAGTAAGACAAAATATGCGACTTATGTAGCATCAGGCAGCAATAAGATCTGCCGCAGTCAAAGCCACATTGACTGTGGTTGAGAAGTTCGCGGCAATCCATGTTATAGTGAAGTCTTTTTAGATCACCAACTCATGATCTTAGTGAAAAGGGTCAAGGGAGATGGAATGGTAATTGTTGGACTCACATGATCCCCTTGAGTTTTGGATGGAAATGGCTTGTGAAATCTTGAAACTTCTGAGAATCATTTCATGGAATAGAGAGATTGAGAGAAAAAAAATGAAGGGCAGCAACAGAGTTCTGATCACGGTTGTTTCGATAACTTAAGGACCGCGTGGCTTGGACGTGCTTGATGAATCCAATGTTGTAATCGTGTCCGAACACAGAACGATCACAACTACTGAAAGAAGAATGAAGAATGTAAAAGCAATGTGATGAAGATGAGATATGAGTGCATAGTGGTGAAGTAACATCAGTTATGTAATATCACTAGCAAAGTTGATTAAGTCTGTGAAAAGAAGATAATAAGGAATAGTTTCTTCGAGGTAGTGATGCAGAGAATTAATATTAGTGAAGGTCATCGGAGGGCGCATGCAACCGTGTGTGTGTGTGTGTGTGTGTGTGTGTGTGTGTGTGTGTGTGTGAAAACCACATATCACATAGTGTGCCAATCCATGAAGCACTGGGTTTCTTGCCGAACCGGCAAACTTAACCCGGGGACTGCTATTGGTGAACTACAAAAGGAAAGGAAAGGAATCGTGCCGGTCAACAATGGAGTTGATTCCAAACTTATCAAAGAGATCAACAAAGATATGTCTCCTAACCGAAGCCAGCTTTGAAAAACAGTTTGCCAGTTCATAGCTAAACATCGATCATCCATTGCCCGGAGTTAGTGATCCTTTTCCGCACAACCCCCCTCCCCGATTTCAATTCTGTAGGTATGTAGTGCATCATTATCCCATATCAGTTAAATAGTAATGCCGTGTTTCGCTACATCCAAAGGAAGGTGATGGAAGCGATGATTACCGTCGTATACCAAAGTGATTTTGCTCATATATGAGCTGATATGTGTGAGGTTTAAATGAATTTTATAACAAATGTACATCCAGCCCTTGGATACAGTTCACAGGTGATATCTATTATCTCTTCCATTTGCATTAGTTTATTATTCTTCATCTATGCCTCCAAGACTATGAAGACTACATCCGAGTAGATAGCTCATCAGACAGACCCATACAGATTGAGGTTTAACCGAACTAAAAGGCCTAATCCACACAGCTTACATAAATTTCAAAGACGGATACTTCTTATTGGATGGAGGAGAATCCGATTCAACCACCAATATTGCTTTATTTTTAATATGGATTTATTGAGCCCTGGATTGCGTCAACGTCTGTCAAAAGGCGAATGAACTCCTGGTGAGCCACCAGAAATTGAACATTAGAATGCTGATGCCTTACTGTGTGCACCTGGTTACGTAGTGTCTGGAGCTGCTCCCTTAAACGCCACGTGACGCGGGGGACGTATCCTGTAACAAAATCCGTAAGATCTTCACAAAGCCCGCTTGGTCTTTCTTAATCAAATGAAATAGGATGCCATTCGAGCAAAATGGACAGACAAAGACGAAGATAACAGTAGTACTTGAAATTTGTTGGCAGTCATTGCGGAAACACTGTTTTGCTTGGTTGAGCGATAGTACAGAGGCACGAAAAGTACTTAACTAACCCTCTCACATTCTAAATTAGTTGATGACATTGCGCATATTGCTCTCACTCGGAGGAGGAGAACTGGGACAATCATGAAAACAAAACTGAAGATCCTCTTCATTTAGATCGAGAATCAATTTCCTTTGAAATTTTGTTTCACACTGCATCCATCACAAGATAAACAAGTGACCCTTCGTGAATGCTTTAACTTGTATTATCAAAACGGTGCATTCTTGTATCTGCATGGGATTGCGCTGTCCGAACGAGCATAATACTTAGCGATTTGATGATCAGCATGCCTTTGAGGGTACTATCAATTACATGAGAGCAAGACTCAAAGCGCTCTGGGATTTCCCGCTTTCACTAATCCTGACCCAGCTCAGCTTCGTCTTTCATTTGTTCAACTTGTCCAAGTTGAACGTAGACAATATTTTACTAACCGACATATGTTGTCCCGCATCTGGAAGAGTTCTTCACATGCGTATCGAATTCTCCTCTCGCATGTTCTTAAAAGGAGCCTTGTGGAATCATCGGCTTTCAACATCTTTTCTAATCATGTTGTCATAAGATCCACTTAGATGAACGCATTTTTCTCGGGCCCATCAGTCTGAAGTACTTTCCGTCTAACTCCTTTGTTCCACACACAATCAGGTCAACTTAGACCCCAAATTGACATATGCCGCAAAAGTCAGTGCAGTCGATGTGGACGGTCGCGAAAGTCTTCCATCCACAACCGTGTACATATCCAATGCCGGTCTCGGGGATCAAAAACAACGACCATCTCCGTCGATTTCACGTTCACGCACCTCGCTCGGAACGCCACGTCTTGGACTACTAAAATATCCGGATTATTTTGCGGTGCGAAATTTAAAATGCGCCGCACAAACCTCCAGTTCCATCGGATTGGAGTGGATTGGTCCGGTTGAATTCAAAGATCTGATAGAGTACGAAGTAAGTAGTGTTGATGTACTGTATTTTCTTTTCTTCCGAGCATTCGACTGAGCTTTCAGTCAATGCAGCTCTGAAGAACTCGTTATTCATTTTCAAGTGCACGTGGAATCATAAATTTTCACTTTTCTCCATATTTGAACTCAATAACAGTCAGCTGAGAAGACAAATCATGAAAACTGGAATACTCAAGCATTGATATAAAAGCAGGTGCATCGATTGTACACAGCTCTGAACTATCTACAGTGACAACACACGACGGAGATAAGAAAATTGAAACAGAAGGGATCAAACAAAGAAATGACTTTTTAGTAATATCCTCACTTACTAAGAAGAAAGTGTGTATTTTGATTAAAAAGTGGTTCTGTTATCGACTGCAAACAAGAGTACTTATGTTTGGGATCGGACAAATGACCGATCGTTGATTTATTACAACTAGAAACAGATCCATAACTATGCACACAAAGTGGCACTACACAATCCCGAAATGTACCGTTTAGCTAGAATCACGTTGTCAATTTCTGTTTGACTGCCACAATTGTTCACAATTTCTTCCTTTCTTTGATCAAAAATCGTCCTTGAATGCCAATAATATATTGCTTATGAATTTTGCGGTTCAAGTGACATCATTTCTTCCTTCTCTAATCTGGTGGTTAGAGACACTGGGTGATATGGTTGAGTGTCACAGACAGCGGCTTTCGTGCACCGATTCATTATCCTTTCGATTTCGGTCGATATGAATTCTCCATCACCTATTGAACTCTGCTCTCAACATTCCATTCTTTCTTCTGCTTTTCTATTCAAACGGTCAGCCAAAAGACAGCAATCAAAACCGGCGCACAAAAGTGCATGGTTGATGATTGTAAAACTTCAAACTGAAGCTTTCCAATCATACCGATTACATGTTCTGTGTATGACCTATTCACTTCAGTATTGCGTTCAATCTGGAATTGTTTTTTAATTTATCCTTACTAACTAGCTGTTAGTCATCTATGGTCTGAATTTCTACGCATGCGCAATAACCCATGCCCATTTGGAGATCATGTGGTTTCGTTATCCATCGGTCAACTTTATAGCCCGTTTGTGAATCCTTCATGTTCATTTTAAAGCCATTATTTAAGCATATCTTGTTTTACCCGTTATAAGTTCTAAGCTGTCATCACTATCCCATGGAAGTGAACCACCTATGCGTAAGAATCTCACAGCTAATTTCTTCAGGGTCACATCTATCAAAGTGACTTGAAACGTTTCACCTATGACTCATCTATTGGTTACCCTAATTCTGAACGCGGTTTTCCTCAGAACAGCTAGTTGTCAGGTGACAGCATAGAACTAATTAGATCTACACATCATACTGAGACTGGTTAGCCAAATTTAGTAGATAGAGGCTCCTTGGGTAAGAGAGAGAGAGATGCGTCAGCCGAATGCGGGAAAAGTTTACTTCCTTACTTGGTTTTACTCAACTACTTAGCTACAGTGATTTGCAGTGAATTCCTTTTTTATTACAAGCGACAAATTGCCCACGATCGCTTCGCGAGATGAGTCAGCAGTTGTATGCTAACTGCACTGTTGACGAAACACGTGCGACGCATTTTGTTTAGCGCGTTTTTTTTCTCCATAAAGCATACAGTATAATATTCAATATAATAAAATTTGACTTGTTTCACGAAACTTCACAGAGTGGATGAGGTAGCTATTTGTCTGAAAAATGAAGATAATCAAACTAAACTTTTAATTAAACACAGTAAAGAAGATGTGTGTGTGCAGGGGTGGTTGGGTGGGTGTGTGCTGGCGAATATCTTCAATTATACTTAGTCAGCAGACGTACCATAGTGTATTTATTGGTGTTCCGACTTAATACGAATCAGTACCGTGTCATTGTAATGACACAGCACTGAAATTCTCCATGTGCAAACCGGACCCCAGTTTTCGTCTATTTTCACTTTTGGTTATAGAACATTGTTTAAGCATACATGAACACACATCGAATACCTGTCCCCCGGGGGCAATAAGTTGACAACTTTAACCACTTGATCATCGTCATACTCTGAAAAACTCAGGGGAATTATTTAGTTATCACGGACTGAGTGCTGATTTATTGTTTGGTAATGATTTATGTAGAAAAAAAGTAAGGTTGTTATCGCGATGATTAGAATTCCGATAGCAATTCCTTAACCACAATTTCACTGGAACAGGGGAAAACGAAGCAGCTTAGTACGAGATGCATTTCGTTCCCCATCCACCTAATCCCCACTATCACTGTATTCTCGTGAAAATCTTTGAAATGTCACCCTCCGGATGGATAACTCTTAGTTTCACTTGACTTGTACTCGAACCAATAAAAAACTTTGTTCGGTTCAGTGTGAGATGCAGTTAAACAAGGGCATTGTATCTGATCCTTTTCTTGATGTGTCCGGTAAGCGTAATTTTTCCGTGGAATCAATGTTTTCACAGATGTGAATTTCGTTCTTAAACAGAACATTGATATTCGAAGATTAGGCTCAACGGGGAATTCGAATCGGATCGTCAGAAAAGGTGAGTGATCAATTGTACACTAATTCAGTAACCCAACTCGTATTGGGTGTAATGGGAATTCAGATCATCAAGTTTGGTTCGAGTCCTGACAGGGACACAAACAAAAGCGTACGCACCGTTGACGAGTCTCAAACTCAGGACAAAATAGTTTTCCAATGCTGTCCAGGGCAGTCATCACAGATATTTCCATTCTGATGAGATTTTTTTGACTTAATAAATCGAAAGCAATTTGCATTCTAAGGAAACCCCAAAATGAATGCGTGCTTCAACCATCACGAGTTGCCGATTGGAACTGGTTCATCCAAACCGATGCAACTCAGAATAAACCTATTTCTCCATTGACCAACAAAATTATTTTGAGTCAGTCACTGAGCGAGAATGAAAGTTTCTATGAGGGTAGGGTATATTTCTTCATCCACACGGTTGATCAAGTGAGCTGGAGAAGTGAAGGAACTAACACGGCAGTAATTCGTTCCCGGTAGGCTGAGTAAGATAGAAAATCACCCCCATGAAGATTGGTCGATCACTATTCTCTGACGGGAATAATGGCATAATTCACTGAATGAGGAGTTATAATCCAGTTCCTCATTCTACAGACAAACAAGTACCGTTGAGAAAGAGTTCCTATCGAAGAACATCGCTTTATTTAAACCAAATGCCATAGTCGGATTTGAAAAGCACTGTTAGCATCAAGTTGGACAGTGTTATTTGGATACAGAGGAAGAACTACCTGCATTTCACCTGAATATCGAAACCTAATATGCATTTATTTGCTGTCCTCCAGAAATTAAAATACTTAACTTTCATCCTTATCCTTTTGGTATCGTTTATCATCCGCGTCGCACTTTTCATAGTTTGGTTTGTTTTGCGTGATTATTGTACTTTTTCAAAGACATATCAAGAGACGCTTTATGCACCCAAGGGGTCAATTTTCAGCAATTTACGATTTTTTACAGTAGATGTATAAAACCAATTGTCAACAATAAAAAGACATTATAAGCAATTCCATACTGTAGTGAATGAGAGAAAAATATTGCAAGAGCTTTCCCTGAGGTGTTGCAAATAGTCTTACGACTAACCAATAACCGAGCCAAGTATGGAATTACATTGTTTCTGTACGTGGAAGTACTCGCAGAAAGTGGTTGATTTTTGCAGCGAGTTCGGGGATTCGACAGGGCTTGCACAATTTCTCGGTCCAAACAGTGACCTTGGTCATGTGTTATTCTGTCAATAGGTATCAATAGGTATCACAAAAGTCGAGATGCTTGGAAATAAAGAAATGAACCAAATCAGCTCTAGCAACTCCACTGTGGTGGGACAAACTTTTAAGGGTTCAAGAAAACAAAGTGAAGTCTTTCTTTTAGACCAGCAATAAATATCAGGGAGCAATATAGCCAATGTGAAGTATGCGGGAAATCACAAATTTGAGATAAAGCTTATGTGGTACGGTCAGTATCCTGAGACTGTACGCATAACAATACAGTTTTCCAACTTTTCTAAAAACGCTGATGACGTGAGCAGACCAGGACAGGTTATGAACGAGAGCGACACAAAGGTATTTACCAGAAACAGATTTTGGGATGCTTCGATTACTAACTATAAGATCGGGGAAACTAGTTACTAATGAAAGACAACAAGGACCGTTTTTTAAGACTAAATGAAAGTTCCCTGCAGTTATTGATGTTAAGTACAGGGGATTGG